GCATTGAAAGATGGAATAACTGTAACAACTAGGAAGAAAGGGACTGTTTTCAACTGTTCAGAGCAAAATATGTGCATTTTGCAGTTGATTCTGAATTTTTTTTTTTGCAAATCAGAAAAAAATGAAGCGGGCAAATCCGTTAACCAAGAAGTTAAATTGATTTGGCCTTATACAAAAATATGTCACAGTACCAGATCTAGTCTACAGTAAGTCTATTTTGTAATAAAGCCACATCAATTTTACTGTCTTGATTTGCTGATTCACTTAATTTTTTTGTGATTTAAAAAAAAATCACGTAACTTTAAATATGTTAAAATGTTGGCAGGAACAGTTGAAAAATCCCTGTCTTCCTATTTTTTTCCAGTTATGAATTAATGACCGTTGAAAATTCATTGTCTAATTGGTTTCCTGCAAATATCCAAGAACTTTGAAATCAAATTGGTGTGGCCCATGGGAGAGTTTTACTACCATAAGAGTAAAACCAGGTCACATCACTATTACCATCATTCAGTAAAATGTAATTAAAAACTGTCTCAAAACAATAACATCATATTTCTGTATTATTACAACCCGTATAGAGTTTCACACATATGCTGTGGAAACTTCCATGCAACATTTGGCACCATTTCCTCACAATGGAACCAACACTAAAATTCAGCAACACACATACAACCTACATAGTACATGTATGGAACAATAATATCCAAGCAGATCCTAGGCAAAAGACAGTATCAAATTGGTCAGGCAGTATCCATAGTTCTCACCAGGCTGTTTGAGCGTAGGGGCCCCCTACGCTGTGATTTTGACCCCCTATGCTGTGATTTAGCCCCCTACACTGTGTTTCAACCAGCGTAGGGGTGGTTTTGGGGGGCAGAAGCTTCATTAATCTTTAAAAAAATGAAAATATAACTTAAGAATGAAGCTATAACAAAGGGAGAACAAAATCTGTCCCCCAATAAACAATAATTAGTGTCTAAGTGGTTAATATGAGTTACAAAATTTTTTTGGGAGAATATCAGACCCATGTTTTTGGGACTTGGTGCGCGACTAGCGCCGCAGAAAGTTGCCCTTCTATACCTGACCCCTACGCTGTGAAAAAATCCTGGTGAGAACCCTGGTATCCATTCACCAGAGAGGGTCCACCCTAGGATCTGCTTGGAGATTAGGCCACACCAATCTAATTTGTTGCTTCTCTGACTTTTTCAGAAAAATTATGAAGCGACAGGGCGAAATAAAAAATTAAAAAAAAAACAGGCCAAGGCACCCCATGATAGCCGGAAATGTTACAATTCAAGTGAACACAACCTGAAGTCAACATACCAGGCTGGTTTATATTTAAAACAATAGATTTTGAACTTTTAATGAAACAAAATTGCATTGTTAGTGTATTTTGCAGTTTATATAGAACAATTTTTTTTTTGAAAATCAAATTGACAGGGTCATCATAGCTTATCGCCAATCCACTCCAGCCAGTTCCGCGCTGCTTCATTGGCCTCCTGGAGATCTGTGACAGGGTGAATCCGAGAAACAACAAATTAAATTGGTGTGGCCTTATGGAACAGGCCATTAAAAATTGTTGGCAAAGGGTTTGCGTAACATCTAGGAACACAAACAAGAGTCCAGGATACAGGTCAACAGTTTCAGTTTCAGTAGTAACAAGTTTAACCTTCTTCCTGCTGAGGTAGCCTGTTGGTGCCGACACAGTAGTGGCTGTGAGTTCAGGAAGCAGGGTGAAAGTTACATATTTTGACACTACATTCTCACCTTGAACTACATGTTACTAATCATGTACATGTACATCAGTTCACTGGCACACTATATAACATGGTCCCTGTCTTTGTTGTTCTTTGGCACACATACATTTTAACATACCCAGTATACAAATAGTAACAGGATATAAATAGCAACAGGATAGATATTTTAACTTAAAAGTTCTCTTAAGTCTGCAAGGTTAATATTACTATTATTTGATTATTAATTTTACTCTTTCTGATGCACAACAGAGCTCACCTGCAAAGTGTCATACAAATCACTAACAAATGAACATCACACGAATGTGACTGGTAGAAAAGCTGCAACAAAATGTAGACAACACATCGACAGCCTTAACAATACATGTATATACTATGTTTGTGTAGTTGTAAAATTGTATAATTGGCAACTTTCTTTTTTCTAAATAGATATTCAACAGTCCCTGTACACATGCCTAAACTGTCCTGAACAACAAAACAAGATGGCTACCATCAAGTACTCCAGATGAAATACAAATCTACTAATTCTGATTGGCTGATTGGAGACCAATCAGAAACTTCAATTTCTGCAATACACAAAAATACTTAAAAACAAAAATATCATTGAATATAAAATTCCATCACATTTTTTTTTAATTTTGAGTCACAAGACTATTGTAAGAATCATTGCTAGTAGTCTATCCTTATATTCAATGTCTACATTTTTCAAAGAAACTGTTTATTTTTTAATTTAAAAAAAGGTAGATCCCAAAAAGTAAAAACAACACTATTTTGTGCACCAAATTCTTAGTTGAATTGTAATTGATTGGAATGAGCCATAAGACCAGCTGACATTTGAATCTCCAAGGAATCCATTAAGAATATAATAACAACAACTGATGTTTCACCTCCACTGACTGGTAAATATCCTACTGACACAACACTTGACAAAACCCTACTAGGCAACTTTCCCTCCTAGGAAAACTAAAAATTTTTACAACTTTTTTAAAAGTTCCTTTTGTGTTAAACTTTTAGTACACAAGCTTATGCAACAAGTACTTTTTTGTCTAACAAAGAAAAATTAAAATTGACTAATCAGCTGATAGTCTACTGATTAAGATTTCACAACATTAAGTATATAAAATTTCATAATGAGAATGTACTTAAGGAATGTGTCACATCAGCACTGGGTCAAAGTTTGTCAGAAGTCGCCCCCCCCCCCAAAAAAAAAAAAAAACTACATAGATGTAGGTGATCGTTCATTAAGATCAGATTCAAAGAACACTGAACCCCAAACACTGAATATATTTTGAATTTTAAATGAAACAAAGTTGCATTTTACATTGAAAAACTAGGAAGAAGAGGACTGTCTTCAACCGTTTGAGCCATAATTTGTCTTTTATTGTGCATTTTGCAGTTGATGTAGAAACTAAAAAATCTTTTTTGGGGGGGGGGGAATCAGAAAAAAATGGACGGGGCGAATCTGAGAAACAACAAATTAAATTGGCGTGGCCTGATGAAGACCAAGAAATTTAGTTGAAATTCCAGCATAATTCTTTGATTTTGGAGAACAGTTATTTCTCATTATGTAACTCACCATGACCTTTCATGATTATTTATCATCTCACAATGTTTGGAACAAATTCATTCATCAAAATCAATACCACAATGATTGTGGTTCTTCAGAGGAACATAAAAGCGTGACAATTTAAACTCAACAAGCTAATCTCCAGACTAACTTGAATCTGCCATGATCATATCATGACAAGGATAACAGCTATTATCAATTCATATTAAGTTATTCACCAACAACAATCAGCAAAAATCACTGAATACAGATACAGAGATTCAATTCTCTTTAACATTAGGCCACACCAACTAATCAACTGATTCTTGGATTTGCCCTTCCTTTTTTCTGATGTGCAAAAAAAAAGGCTTCAGGTTCTGAATCAACTCCAAAATTATCAGATATTGGTCCCAACAGTTGCATAAAATCCTTGCCTTCCTAGTTGTTACAATTTATCCATGCAGTGCTTAGATGAAAAGTTCAAAATTCATTGTTTGAACTTTGAATCATAATCCGACATGCTACAACAGGAGCCATGAAGTTAACATACCAGGCTGGTTTATATAATTCAAACAATGAAAGCACTGCATGGGAAAACTGTAACAACTAGGAAGGCAAGGACCTAGACCTGTTTTTATTTTTGTCTATTTTTTTTTTCACTTGGTCGCTTATTTTCTCTGAAAAAAATGCAAGAACCAACAAATCAAATTGGTGTGGCATTACTATCATCTATGATATTAGAAATATGATTAAGGGTTGTCATCTAAGAGCCTGCATCAGACTTATAATCCACACACACTGTACCTGATGTCATATTTCTATCATCAACACATTACAAAATCAGACGACACCAATTTAATTCGTTGGAAGAAAACGACTTTCCTCAAATGTTGGGGGCAAAATATGAGCATTTTTTAGTTGATTCAGAACCAGATTTTTCTTCTTTTTTTTGTACTTCAGAAAAAAATGAAGAGGCCAATCCAAGAACCAACAAATTAAATTGGTGTGGCTTCAGTAGTACTACTACCATGTAGTATCATAATATGTTCAACAAAATGGTCATGATTTGGCAATACATCAAGTTTTCAATCACCACTACTAATGACTTTCCACATTACAAAAAGGACATTGCACAAAACCTGGCAAACCACCAGACATATGAATTCTAGATTGAGAGTCACACATTGTTTGAACATCTGTTATAAAAGGGTTCTTCATGACTTAGAGGGCTGAAGTGAAAACTTCCCCATACCTGAACGTGGAGACTGTGGTCTTTTGTTTGGGAGCTTTTACTGCAGGAAACCTGCCACTGGTAACTTTTAATAACTGCTCTGCTTCTACCATAATATAAAAGGTACTCGAGGGAAGATTTTGACACAAATTGAATCATTATTTCATATTGCAGAGTTTAGTAACAACTGGCACAGAGGTCTTCTTATTTTTGGTGCTATTTTTGGCATGTTAGCCAGGTTTACACATTAAACAATGGCTAACAGCCGTGATGCTCATCTTAACACTGCTTTGTATGCTTATGGCACAATGATGTGGCATATCAACTTTCTAGATATCGCTTTGAGTGCAACAGGTTTGATTCAACTTTGTAAAGAAACGACCAGAAATTTGACTGGCATGTTTCAAGAATAATTCTCAATCTTCCATTGAGTACCTTCTACTTACTAGTACTAGGCTTGATAGTAGAGTACATTGTTTTTCTGAGTGTGATGATCAACTGATTTCCCAGTTGAACAGCTATTTTAAATTTGTGATTATCCTTTGACAAGCTAGTACAAATGTTCATTAACATTCGACTGTCCAATCTTAGTTGTGAATTATACCGTGGACGTCTCACTTGCGTTACACTCGTACATGGCACCAGGTCGGATACGGCGGTGGACACGCCCGGGCAACTTTGGCAGAAACTTGAGCGACGGCATCAACTCCCGAACAGCCTCGCGGAACTTCTTGATGCGCCAGCAGTACACCATGGGGTTGATGGCGGAGTTTAGATACGAGATCCACAACACGATAGAGTCAAAGGTCACCATGCCCAGCGCCTGTTTGGCGTTGACCCACGACGCGTGGACGACCTCCACGACGGCGTACGGCGCCCAGCACAGCACGTAGATGATGAACAGGACAAAGATGGTGGTGAACGCTCGCGTCTTGAAGCTCATGTCCACGTTGAGCTTGCGCGCGCGGGCCTGGACCACCTGCAGACCCAGCCGGCTGGACTGGGTCACGGCCAGGCACTCCGGCTGGTTCATGATGCGCATGGAGTTCTTCCGGACCGTGCTGATGATGCACATGAAGGAATACAGCATGGCAAAGAATGGCAGGAAGAACTGCACCAGGACGAGCAGCAGGGAGTACACCATGTCAGCAGGGCCTGTACTCACTAACCGACACTGAGCCTGCCCGGGGAGGTACTGTAGGTGACCCCATCCAACCAGGGGAGGGAAGCACACCACGATGGAGAAAATCCACGTCACCGCGATCAGCACTTTGGCACGTGTCGTGTTCAACTTGTCTTTACGTCGCACGATGATCATGTAGCGATCCACGCTGATCGTGACCAAGATCAGGATCCCCTCGATCACGCAGACGGTGTAGAGGAACGCGTGGATCTGACAGAAAACTGTTCCGAGAAGCCAGTCTCCGGCGATGAGCGCGATCAGAGTGAAGGGGCATGGACAGTACGCCGACCAGGATGTCTGCTGCAGCCATGTTTGCCAGCAGTAGGTTGATGGCAGATCGCATGACGGGCTTCTGGAACACGATCAGACACACGATGCTGTTTCCCAGGACTGTGATCAGGATCATCAGGATCATGAGAAATGACAACAGAACGACAAGTGACGGTGACAAGTTGGTGATCTCCTCATCTATACCAGGATCAAGATTTGGTCCATCTGTGATGTTATATGTGTCGTTCCAGGTACTCATATTGCACATTGTACAGTTCACAAAGGGCCAGTCCCTAGAGTCATCCATTATTTCCCTTGAACACAATGTTCAGTTCAAGTAATGGATAGCAAATTTAACATGTCCTCAGCTTCTTGTTTCACATGTTCACACCTTCTTAACACTGAAACTGATATCACCAGTACTGTTCAATGCTCTTGGGTGTATAACAGTCAGGGAACACAACAGAATCATCCTTTTATGGAAAAAAATTTACGGGATCTTCCCGAAGTCACAGATTTCATCAGTGTGGCCTCTGCAACAAGCCTACAGGCCTGTCATCTCCTGTATAGTCTTCTGTGACAGACAAATCTTTTATCATACCATGATTGTGTCCAAGTACCTGTACATGGTGATGTAAAACCTTTGCAGAGGTTTCTGATATGCCTGTCATTCCCACTGTTGGGATGAGAAGACTGTTTGGTTGCTAACATGCTAACATTTCACATCTCCCATCTCTTCCTTCACTGTGGAAATAAAATCTCCACGAGTGCAACCTTTCGCTTTGCCTGTATCAATTTGCAACAAACTTGTGCTTTGTGCACTATGCAGGCTGAGAAACTATAAATGCTGGCTTCTGAATGCCACTGCTGGTCACGACATCTTTCCCGGGAGATTGTTGCCGGTGACCTTTTTTCACAATAGGATGAAACACTGGCTTCCTGTGCAAGTCACATGTCCAACCATTTTCCTAGGCAGCAGGTGTGATGGAGTCGTGCTGTCCTTGTGGAACCCTTCTCCTTCTGCCTTGAGGATTCCTGATTGTGATCTTCCTTTTCAAAGCCGGCCTCATCAGCTTTCTGCAGAGATATTGATAAAGAGATCTGTGTTAACAAACATGGCTCGAAATTCAATTTGGGGATTAGGTGCACTGGTGCACCCAACCTAAAATATTGGGCGCATTTAAGCTAAAATAAGTAGAATGTCAGCAAAAACTAATTGTGTTTCATTTTTAAAGAAAATTATTTCATTATTTTTCTGACATTAAGATGTTAATAATATGCCGTATACTACAGTATACATTTGACATTTTTACATATGTAAACCTACAAAAACATTTGGGTGCACCCATGTAGAAAAAATTGGGTGCAAATTTGGGTGAACTAAGGTGCACATGCACCCAGTATTTCAAGCCCTTACAATCATATCCACCCAAGGCAAACCACATTCAAGGAAAAGTATGTGACATCCAGATAACCAAGTTGAACACATTTCCCAGAGAAATTGGCAGAAAATTCAGGAATGTAGGGGAACACCAGCACTGGGAGCTTGAAATTACATTGATTCATCCATGGAGTGTAATATTTCTACACACCATTTGAATATCAAAGTATTAATGCTGCTATATACCTCACACATATCAGATTTTCCATAGTTTATGTCAAATTGTATTTTTGCACAAATACAATTGTATTTTTGTTACAAAAATCCAATTTTTCACATCCCCCATCAATAGTAATGAATGGTACAACCCAACTCTTCCTCTCCAGATGATTTACCTCATTCTAATTGGTTCCTGCTAATTGATTCCCTCCCTCAGTGGGGGAGAAAACTGCATGCATATGTGTACCACTTTGTAGTCAAGAGAACCACCTGTACATGTCTTACAGTAATAAGGCCATACCGATTTCATTTGTTGGTTCAGAAAAAAATGAAGCGACAGAGCAAAAAGCAGGCCAAGACATCCAATGGCAGGCCCAAATGCTAAGATAGGAGCCATGAAGTCAACATACCAGGCTGCTTTGTAATCAAAATTATGAATTTTGAACATTCAAATTTCAATCAAGCCATTGCAAATGTTAGATGAAAAACTGTATCAATTAAGATGACAAGAACAATTCCTCAACTATTGAGGCCAAATTATGGACATTTTGGAGCTGATTCAGAACCTAAAGGCTAAATACATTTTTAATGAAGTGGGCTAATCTGAGAACCAATTAATTATATTGGTGTGGCCTAATGCAGTAATTACATACTATACAAAAACATGAATTTTCCCAGATTCTGCCTCCCTTTCAAAGAAAGAGCTAAGGTGTTTTTCCAGTAAAAGATAGTTTCCACTCAAAGGTATTGACTGAAAGCTTACAACTTTCTTGAAAAATGTTTGCCTAGTCATGTTTTTATTTTTTTTTGTCATGTTTCTTTTGTCATACATTTGTATTTTTTTCTGAACAAATACGAGAACCAACAAATTAAATTGGTGTGGCCTCAAGTATAAAATGGAAATGTGCTAAGAAATGGCTGTACAGGTTAATGTCAGAGAGGTTTGGGAATTTTCTTATCAAAAAAATTTGTTTGTTTTTTTTGCTACCCAGAAATTGCATTTAACATAAAACCATCAGGCTCCAATGTTAACCTCCAAACAGGCCCTGGATTGATGCACTTCACATTAGGCCACAGCAAATAATTTTTATGGATGACATCAGCGCGCTCATTAATTTTCGCCTGATTTGGGGGTAAAAAAAACAAGAATTTTTTTTTGCCTTCTGACAGTGGTCAACATGCCGAAAATGGGCAAAGATGTCTGTTGCCATGCCGGAAGGTGGATGGCAGATATTTATGAAGAGAGGAGACAAGAAAAGGCTTTGATTTGATGTTTTGTTTCTTACTTTGATGCAGTGATATGTGGTGCTGGCTGTGTATATGTGATGTTCCCACTGAATCAAAACCATTTATACAATGATGGAGGCAAAATTTTAAAATCTTATTTTTTTTTGGCCCGCCTTGTTTTTTTTCGCCGGCTCGCATTAGATTTGTAGTCTGCAGAGGATGCCATCCATAAAATTGACTTGCTGTGGCCTTACAACAGTTACATAACCCTGACCAGGCTGTCCCAAGGCCCTCACCAGCTGGGAACCTAGCAACCATGACATCAGTACCAGATAAGCGCAGGAAGGAGGGGGCGTATAAAGGCTTCTACTGGGAAAAAACATCTTTATGCATCACATCAAGCAACATGATAAACCTCAGGCTCATCCTGCCTTAGCTGTTGATCATGGTACATATTACTACATAACCACTGGCTATACAAATGTCAGATTTCCCAACCAAATATCTATTCATCCTTTTCTTAGGCTGGCTAAGCAAATTTTCAAAATTGATTTTTTTTAAATTATCATAACCATCAAATTTGGTACCTACATCTTGATTCAAGTCAACCCAATACCAGTGTCATAGATTAATGAAATTGATATGTGATAATGAAAGATTCTCTTCAATGTAAGTAAATGTGTATATGTAAAGTAAGATTATTTCCCTAGTTTTAGAATTTTACATAGAAAACAAAAATTCACATTCCTCATGAAACTCGATAATCCTCGTACTATAAGCTCCATCTGTTCTTACATTTACAACTGTTTTAAGAAGCGAGAAGAAGCAGAACCTGTACATATGTAGTTTTACTATAGATATATTTTAGTCTACCATAGCTATTTGCCGTGACCTGTACTTAGTTCACAATTGAGCAAAAATGTATAATAAAGGTCTTTCATTCATTGAAAACTGTATGTTTACCACAAAGTCAAGAGATGATGATGATGTATATGCTGTGACAATTACAGACTTATATTTAACATGATGATTCTACATGTAGTTCTTTCCACCTTCCTCTGAACATGTAACCATCCTGACACAATACTTAAATACTTCCCTGTAGACTCAACATAGATATCTGAGGACCTTGGGCTGCATTTCTTGTTAGAATCAGAATTTTAGTTGATAAGTTTGCCCTACATGCTAATATTGGCAGTATGTTTGACATCTCTGTTGTACTCACATTTTTATGTCAACAACTGTTGTCTGCCTTGTGTAGATTGCAAGTGGTAAACAAACACACTGATCAGAAGATCAATATAAATTCCTCACATCCTTTCCAAACCTTCAATGCAATGGAAGAATGTGTCCCGAAGGAGCTTCTCAGAAAAAAATTGATGTCTCATGATTGTGATATCTTGAAAGTCCTGTATGAAATTCGGAAGATGGCAGAAAAATGAGGAAGAAAATATCCAACAGGGTTCCAATATGTTCATGGTGTTAACAATTGGGCTACCTGCACAACTGTAACAGAAATGTGAAATAATAGAAATAATTCTCTTTCACTATTTACAACAAACACATCAGTGGTAGCACTGGTAGGAACCTTTTTTTTAGTGTTCTGCAATATTACAAACATCAAAATTTTGTTCTGCAATTAAGAAATACTTCCTTCTTCAAATACACAAGCCTCCATACTGAGGAAAAGTAACATGCTACCTGAAACGTCTGACTGTTTCTAAAATCATATCCAGTTGCTTGAGCAAGTTTTTTTTTTGGCACTCCATACTACAGCTTTCTCAACCTAATACTAGTAATATGTATACTTACATGATCTACAGTAAGTAAAAGGGTGTGTACAGTACTGCTCAAGGAGGGTCTGCATGGGGGGGTCCTGGCAACGGTTAACGGTAAATTCAGCAGGGCCAATAACGCTTAACGGTAAATTCAGGACGGTCGGCAACGCTTAACGGTAAATTGACAGGCTTTTTTTTCGAACTGCACTGGATTTGGTATCTCGCTTTAGGAGAAAAGGTGATCACTAACAAAATTACGTATACCTTACATGTAATGAAGCACGAATTAAAGATATGTGTTTCCTGTGTTTCCCACCTGCCCTGGTCCCCGAGTGCGTCCACAAATAAAGGGGAGTCCGAGTCGACGTCGGCCAGGGCTCTACCCAGCTTGACCGTTCGCCCAGTTTTACCGATGGATTTTGAGAGGGGAGCGCCGAAGGCGCTCGCAATCTGAGGGGGTCCGGGGGGATGCTCTCCCGGAAAATTTAGGATTTTTAAGCCTTCAAAAACGCAATTTCCCGCATTTTGAGAGGCATGGTGTTGGGAGTGTTCGTCGGTCCTTCTGATGTTTTTATATTTTACTCAAGATTTTTGTTAATTTTGTCTGTCGACGTTGACGGATTCGTTAAAAAGATTCTGTAACTCTCCGCAAACTTCCAGTAATTGACGGAAACCTGGTGCTGGCTATGGCCGAAGGGACCGAGCGCCAAAGGCGCAAGCAATGTAGGGGGTTCCAGGGGCATTCTCCCCCGGGAAATTTTGTATTTTTAAACCTTTATGACGCATTTTCCTGTACTTTGAAAGGCAAAATTAGGCGTAACGAAGAATTATTCATTAACGCTTAACACTGAATTTAGGATGACAAATAACGTTTTACGTTGAATTAAAATGACCAATAACGCTTCACGATGAATATACTGATAACGCTTAACGTTGAATTGAGCGGGCCGGCAACGATTAACGGTAAATTAAAATAGCCCATAACGGTTAACGAAAAAGGGCATGCAGGCCCTCCTCAAGTCCAGAGGCTTAGATTCAGGTCCTGACTTAAGTCAAGATTTTTTTCAGTCTGCAAAATTCCAGATTGCTTAGTTTTTCTTCTACAATATTCAAAATATCTCTTCAAAATGCAGACTGAAGGTGGGTATTTCTGACACTGCAGATGATTCTTGTGGCTTTGTGGTGCCACCAGTTCAAACTTGAGAAATCAAATTTTGACATATGTCTCATAAATATGTAGGAAAAAAGAACAGGCATTTCGAGCTCTGTACACCCTTAGTGACGACAGTTCCCTTCTTTAACACATGAATTATCCAAATCCCTCCAACTGACCAACATAACCTGCTGCAGGTGTTAGAACCAGAAATCAAACCACACCAAAAATTTATATGTCCTCCTTCAACAGAAATGATTATATAGCAAATGTGTATCTTATTTTATGAACACTACGCACGTGAAATTTGAAGATTCTAGGCAGCAGATGCTGGTATGGATGATGGCAGATAAGAATCTTTCCTACCCTCCAGATTTTACACGTCTATCAAGATGTCAGACAACGCAGCTGGTGTAGGTGTTTTGATAAGTTATGCTTATCAATAATTTTCCAAACAACCATGGTTGAAAATTTTCCTTTTACTAACCTGATGTCTGCTTCCCGTTAAACCATTTAAGCAGCTCCTTCCCTTAGCGCCATTCTTGTGCGTCTTCCTTGGCTTTATGTTTAACAAATGGATTAAAATCTGGATTTTTCACACCAAAACAACACACGACCGCTGTCCGTCAACTCCCACGGATCCCCCAAGGCTTCTGACATCAACTTGGAACATACCATTCTAACGAGGGAGGTTCAAGAATTATTAGCCGTAATAATCACCACTTTAGAGCGTTACAAAATTAAAAAAACGATAATATTCATGTGCTAAATACATATAAAATATATATTACATTGTTTTGTGAAATAGCTTCGGAAACTTCTCGTATTTTAGTATTAATGTTTGTAATATGCCACCTGTTAGGGTAAGTGAGCTTTTCCATGTGCGTCATCAGACTAAGCTTTATTTGGTCAAAGGTTATTAGAAGATACCATTCATCATCAAAGGTAGATTTTATAAGAAACCTAAATATTTAGCTTATTCTATAGATTGGTCGGTCAATTTTTGTAACATTATTAACGTAACATGGAGTGGTAAATAATAGGCATGATGAACGTAATTATCATTTTCAGAAATTTCTGTGGGTACTTTTATAGTTTTAGAGTTTCGCCTACTGCGCAGCTGCGGCCCATTAGCTCAGTTGGTTAGAGCGTCGTGCTGATAACGCGAAGGTCGTGGGTTCGACCCCCATGTGGGCCAGGCTTCTAACTTTTGATACCTGCAAGAAAAATGGAGATATTGTTTTTGCCTTGTCTGTGTTCCCGCATAGCCCTTTGGTTTGGTCGGAATGGACATATGGTTTGGTTCAGTCTGTCCCCTAGGGAGCAAGTCACAAATCACCTCTACATACAGGTGTTTTTATTACATGACCTCCTTGACAGCTGGTGTTGTTTCCCTTGCACTATAAATATAGCGTTATTGGTGAATCAGTGGAGGACACAGTCACGATTACAAGAGATGTAGATATTTCATGTTGGTCTGAGCTTTTTCTTTTTGTCTGAGATCCCCGAATTCTTGTTTTTGAACACTGAATGTCTAAGTATTCTTCCTGGAGTCGGTAGACAAATAGTGAATCACCAAATTTCAGATTGATTTCTTGAAATGGCAAGGATACAATACACGTGCTTGGACCATCACACACCAGGGCATGCTAGTCTTTTTTTGAAAGGTGTGGTGGGTTCTTTCATTTGCATTTAGTGTCCGATCCAAAAGACATCCCAAAAAACAGGAGCTTGGTACTAATTTTAACCTGAGTGAAGGGACTTGAACCCAGTACCTATGGGTTGAATAGCCAACAAGACAATGCGGCCTACAAAATGCAACAATGTCTCTAGGCCTTTACTGGCCTGGAAATCAACCTAAACAAAACAGATGAAATGAAACTTACATGTGATACTAGCAGTCACCAGCCTTTCAGTAAATAAAGGCTGCATTATCACCTTTTCAAAACAGCAATTTTCTAGTATAAAAATCTGGAAAACAGTTTCAGAAGCAATTTCTATGAATTGTCAAACATTTGAAGAGAATTAGGCATCTGTACTCAAAGTGCAGCAATTTTTATTTCCAAACACATCAAATAACTTGGTGTTTATAGTTCTGTGCATCAAAGTGTGTGTGTGTGTGTGTTTGTGTGTGTGTTTTGTCAACAAAATCACTCATTGGTTCATTCAAATGTAACTCTAACACAAAGATAGTAAAGGCACAACATTTGTGCAATGAAATACAAGCCTTGTTAGGCTTTCTGGTAGGGAGCTAAGGTCTAGCTTCATTAACAATCTTGATTACATCATGCTTATAGCGGGAGGGATATTATTAGCCTGATTAAATCGCTTTTGCTGGCCGCCCAACATCCACCCGGCCCCCGAAAAAATTGGGTGGCGGACTATGTAGGGAGCCCCCCGGAGCTTGGGTTACATAGGCTAGGATATTATATGGTGTGGAGTTTGTGTCACACAGATTACTAAGCTCTAGTTTTGCATGTCTACACTTTTACACATTTTACCCAGGCGGACACAGGTTAGAAGTCTGTGTAACACAAGCTCCACCCTCCAAATAATGGTCTGTCCCGCTATAAGTACAATGGAGTCAGGGCTAGCTATGGAACCAAATTATTAGTTCATTCAATCATCGCAAATTTATAAACATATTCTAGTGCCTGTAGTACTCAGTAACTACAGTGTACAGTCAGCTCAGGTAGTATACATTGGTATGGTAACATCTCCTCTACATTACAGAACAAAATTGATGTCTCACAACATGACCATCTGCAAAAAGATTCTAATTGTGAGTTCCATGGTTTGAGGAATGACTTGAGTTCACATTCAGTTGGAATGATGCTGTACCAATCATACTGAGGGTCAATACAGTGGACTATGTTAACCCCAGTCTACTTTCTGTTGGAGATGTGTTCAGCTCAGAGGAGTGAAAAGTATGAGTTGAATCATCTCAAAGGGGGAAGAAATTTCATATAACAATGCTGATAAAGTATCATAAATGATTACTTTGACATCTATTCAACTGGTTTCGTGCTGTTACCAGACAAATTTCTGTACCTTGGCTAGCAGAACACCAGATATTGGCGTTATTAGTTAAACCTTCCCCTTTGTGGTACAAAGAAAACTGATGCACAAAATCCAGTGCCATTCAACAGCACTCAATATTCCTAACTGAGCTAGTCTCTGAAATTACTTCTACCACCACATCAAATCAAATAACACAGTGCAGTATGTACCAACAATCTCATTCTTTGCAAATACATGTGTTCTGTAATGTTCTACAAGATTTTATACATCATGGACGGTAAGGAAGTTCTCCTCAATTGTGTAGCCAGTGTTACAGAACATGTGTTTGTGCTAGTAATATCATTAACATAGTAGGAAGAAATAGTGAGAAAAGACAAGACAGAAGGACATACATATTCAACAGCTTTTGATGCAGCAAGTCTGGGGAGAATGGACAGATTAAGACAAGAAGGCACTGGCCGGACAGCAGAGCTATCTTTACATTTCTGCAACTTGTTTGCACTATCTCTGAGTCTGACTATGTACTGAAGACTTCCAACAAAATACACTGAATTTATATTCTGAGACACACATCTCATCTACTCCAATTTCAAAAGGACTTTCAATTTCAATCATTCAAGGCAATACTGAGCAGAATGGAACTGGATGAGGTTATTTGCAGCTTTCACTGGTCCAACGTAACAAAAAGATGACTAAGTACAGCTGAAGAAGTCCATTCTGATGAAGAGGATCAGGTATATTTTATGTAGATCCAAACTCCTCCATCCACTTGACATACTTGGCCAGATCATCCTTGGACACAGACTTGGAGACTTTCTTCAAGGCTTCTTCAAAGTCCTTCATGCAGGTGGGGAGTTCCAGCTCCTCCTTGGGGAGGTTCTTAATCTGATCTGGAGTCAGACCCTCGATACGGCGCCGCATGGCCATCATGGAGGCATCTCTGTGGAGGAACACACCTGACTTATTAACAACAGGACTCAGCAAATGGTACTTTGGAACACCTATTTTTGTTACATGCTGATAAGGCAGTGGTCGAAATACTTTTTTCAGCGCTCTGCAATGTTGCAGAAGAGTCAAAAATTTTTTCTGCAATTTGGAAATACTTTCTGCAAGTACACAAGCCTCCATACTACAACCATCTCAAACCATTACTGTCTTTTTTACATCATATGTAGCTTTGTAAATCTGTAGCATTATTGGAATTCTTTTAAGTTTAATCTATCACTCTTTTTAATTTCAGACTTTATAGATCCTTCTCCACAGAAAATTTATCATTTACTGGTATCTTCACGGGTCTTTCACCGCTGTCTCCCACTACAAGCTACTACAGCTAAAATCATACCTTACCTGTAAATGTAGTAATCACACCCACATATCATCCTTCCACACAACATACTTTAATAAGACACACCAAAAAAACAGTACTTAACTCTTAAGCAACTCGATATGATTTTGGTGCTACCTGATATGCTCAGACTACTACCTTTCATCAGTGACACTAAGAAAATTGCAGGTTTATAAGCACAAACTATTGATTCATATGGAAATTAGTGAAGACAAATTTTTGGAAGTTGAAAGGGAAACAAAAGATAGACAAGTCAAGACAAGGTTGATGCAAATTAGTGAAGAAGCTCCTGTTGTTTCAAAACAGGAGTTTATGTGTTGTCTGTCCTTGGGGCCAGAGAGTTCTAGTTTGCTAAATTGAAAACAATTGAATCTGGAGCCTATTTTTCCTTCTGCAAAATTGCAGATTGTATAAATTTTTCATCTGCAATCTTGAAAATCTATCTGCAGATTGCAGACTGCAGACAGGTATTTCGAACACTGTAAGGCCACACCAATTTAATTTTTTGGTTAACGGATTTTTCTAGAAAAGTAATGGAGCGGGCGGGCGAAAAAAAAATAAAAATAAAAACAGGCCTAGGCATCCTATTATGGACCAAAATGGTAGGAGCCATAAAGTCAACACACCAGGCTGGTTCAAAATTTAAACAATGAATTTGGAACTTTTAATGATACCACTGCATTGAAAGATGGAATAACTGTAACAACTAGGAACAAAAGGACTGTTTTCAACGGTGTCCTCCCTGGCTAATTTGGCATTTTACATTTCCATCGTTTTCTCACAAAGAAATTTAGAAAGAACTGTAGTTGTACTGAATATTGATACCTGGGTACAAAAGGGTTATGAATATGATTTTATGGACCATATTGATGACGTCATCACATTTTATTGCCCCAAATGTAATTATCTTTAAAGTTATAATATAGCACTTTGGTACAAGTAACTGAAATAAAAGTATGATTTTCATGTGCATAATGGTCAAAGCTACAAACGTACGTTTGCACAAATTGATAACCTCTAATTACCCAAAGTTATTAGAGAATAACTAGATTTTAATTAGGCAATTAGGTTATTCTCTAATAACTTTGGGTAATTCATCATCATCATTCACTGCGTTCTGCGTCTACAGTCTCGTAGAGATGTCCTGTAGCCGGGTAACTTGGGTAATTAGTAGATATCAATATCAATCCTATCCCTTAGCATACTGATATCTGTGATGTACACACACATACTATACGCTCACCTCTCTAATACACGTACCGGGACGTTTATTTTTTTTCGCCTTGAAATCCGCCCTGTACGTTCTTATTTTAGACGGTACGTTTATTTTTTTTCAGAATCCAAAAAAGTTCCGGGCAAAAAAGTACGTAACAGCAGAGTTAAAATGCCACGAAAAGCACATGTCTGGACGTAAGAAGGAAGTTCCTGGTACAAATAATACATTTAAGTCTTTTTGTAGTAACTTGTTGCGGTATTCTAGCGGGAACTTTTCATGTTTTGTTAGTTCTGCCAGTACGCAAGAAGATCCGACAAGACCGGGGGTGGCCGCTCCGGGGTTGAACGTCCTTGAATAAACTTAACTCTCGTGTCCCTTTTTTTTGTTGCCCCGAACATCCACCCGGTACGATCTCATTTTGGACGGTGCAATAATTTTTCAAAATCGGGGCATAGTTAACAGCATTGAAAGTACATGCCCTCATGGAGAAAACATTTTTTCTGGGTGCAAGTTTTTGGAAAGCCACGATGCCCGGACACAGCCGCCCAAAGTAGCGGCCACTTTGCAACATGTCAAATATGCATGGGCAGAACTTTACTGACACCAAACGTATGGCAGATTTACTGAGTCATCGTACTTGTACTTATGTAGGGAAAAGATCACCTCTTTTTTTGAAAAAGGTAAGTAATATTTTGGAACACGTAGCAGGTCGGAGATATGAGCTAGCGTTACTAAGGGGAGGAACATGTGCTTGCACATTACGTGTTTCAAGTATTCCTTTTTCCAATGAAAATATGAAAACAATACCAGACAACAGTGTATTTTAGCACAATAAATCGTATTTCTCACAAGAATTCCAAAATCCTACCACAGAAATGACAATTCAAGCTGGAAATAGTCCGTTCTGACTGGAGCACGTAAGGAGTAAACACTTGAAAACTTCCCACGATCATTTGGAAGAGCCTACTTTGAGTATGGGGAAGCTATGATTTTTAAATGTGAATAAAACTCTTTCTTAAAAAATCAAATATGGCTGTTACATTATGGAACAGTTGAATAATAAGTAAAAAGGTGTTGACATGACAAAACTTGCAATCTATTCATATCAAGTACACATCAAAATGTTTTAAATGTTATTGTCCCCCTACTAGAGAATGAACCATTCTTCCAAGAACTTGTGGCCCCGCCTCCCATCATTTGCATACTAACACAAACTTCAAAGCTTGCTACATTTTGTAAGTGAAACCTGAGACCCTTGAGATTGTGGCAGTGCTTCAAATTGTTGCTATTCTCGTGTGAACTTTGTGTGTGACTTGTGGATTGTGACAATTGTTTGAAAACTGATTGAAGTTTTTCTAAAGGTATAAAAATGAAATACCATTCAAAATCTAACATTATATTCTATATTTGATTCTTTTCCCTATGGCTTTTTACACATTACTGCAAATTTGTATAGAGCATGTATTTAGCATATTGTTAATTTTTGTTCAACTCTATTCATGTAATTTTTCTTAACCTTAAAAAATCAAGGACTCGTATTCCAAAACTTGATAGCATTGTTCCTGCTCAATGCATGCATGCAATGCAATGATCAACAACAAATTGTGTGAACTCAGAGTCAGATCTCAAGTTAGAATGTAGATGGATAATGTCATTAGACTGCACGACATATACAAAGGCATGTACTTCTCATTAACCTGTAAGAATGCAGGCTGATAATTTGGTAATTTTCCAGGGGTATGTTTATTCTGGGGGGGGGGATATTTATTAGGTTTTGAAGATTTCTCGGGAGTACTTTTATTCCGGGGGTACCCCGGTATGTTTATTTGGGACCTGTGTTTGCAAGGGACACATACATGTACACCGTGAGAACACATTTTAGTAGCATAAACATTGCTTAAACATTTCAATTTAAAATTTTCCGGGGGGTACTTTTATTCCAGGGGGTACTTTTATTACATTTTGAAGATTTGTCCGGGGGGTACTTTTATTCCAGGGGGTACTTTTATTCGAGAGGTGAGAGTACACATGTACATACACACACACGCAAACACACACATGAACAAACACACTTGACAACTATCTGACAGTTCTGACTGAAGGGTAAAGTTGTGCCCTGACCTGCAGACATTGGTGATGTCAGCACCAGAGTACCCGTCCATTTTCTCAGCTATAGAGGCCAGGATGACGTCTTCAGCAATCGGCACTTCCTTCAGGTTGATCTTAAGCAGCTCTTCCCTCGATGATGCTGGAAATAAAGGAAGAACTATTAACAAATACTTCTCAGTTAACATTTCCCAATAGAAAAGGGGGCATCTTTACCAGAAATTTTTGCAGCGAGCACTGCACTACCAGGGTTTAGAAGCAAGATATGTTGTTTGCTGGGCACGTCTGGGCAAAACTGTGGCCACATAATTTACAGAGGCTGACACTTGAGGATGCCCAATGGCAATGTTTTCTTCATTTTGCAGTTCAAATTTTTTTACTATTAATAAAAATTTCAGGTGGTTTAGAACAAAAAAAAGGAAAGTAACACAATTTTTTTTTTGTAGGTCCGGAAATACATTGTAGTTCCAGACATTCAGGGTTTTTTTTACTTGAACCTGAACATTTTTACGGAACTACTTCCAGTGAACAGGTACACAGCACTAAACAGGGGTGTGAAGCTGCAGACTGAGAGGCTGTCTCACTGTCAGGCAGGGGGATATAGATCCTCTTCTCCAGCCGGCGGCGCAGGGCCTCGTCCAGGTCCCAGGGGAAGTTAGTGGCTGCCAGAACCATCACCATCTTCCCTTCATCTCCTTCATTAGCCGACACACCTGGAGACAACAAACCAACCACCAAACATTTATACAAACTTATTATATATATTTGAATTATGCTTAACCTTCTATTTCAATTACCTATTCAAGACAGAAGCAGCTGGAGAGCAGCTATTAGACCTAAACGACACCCCACGACGTCCAACCCTTGCATGACGGGGAACAACGGACGTTAAGCCGTGCAGTGAGTGAGTGTGTGAGAGTGTATTCTTATACTTGTTGTTATTGACAATGTAAATTTTGATGTTGTATATGTGCTTTTGTATGGGGGAGGGCAACTTGTAAAGGTGCGTATGCACCTGTTTTGCCCTTCCTTTCACTTTGTGAAAAATCAAAATAAACAATAAACAAACATTGAAATATCTTATCTGTGTGATGGTAAATTACTTCCCCTGTTCAACATACTTTGTGCCATTATATCTCACATTTCTGACATTTATGGTTGGTGCTAAAACAGCCCACACAAGGCACCCGACCACAAACTACCAGAATCCTGTAAACAAAAATAACTAACGGCTGTGTTTCAACTACACTTTATGTTCGTGGTAGCAAAAGTTCACAGTCCGAGAAAAATGGAGATGTACATGTACACAGAATTAGGTCTTTGTGGTGGCGGCAGGTGCACAAAAAACAGCAAGTTTGTAAGTTCACACTACAGAAGTTCTTGTTCTTGAGAAGACACTGTGCAACACCCCTCTGTTGGGGCAAGACACACAGGGTGACAGCAATTAAACATAAAAGTGCTGCATGTTGAGGGGCAGATTTTGCTGGCAGACTAAGCTTAGTTTAATAACATCTCTCTCTAGATCTTTACACAACGATTTTGATGACAGATTGAGTAAAATTTTGTCTGTCATGGGCAGCGAAATAAGACGGAAGCCGGTTAGAACACTACGTTGTTGAGACCAGTTTGACTAGGGTTGTGTTGTATACATAGTACATGTACATGTGCAGTGTTCAAAATACCCGGTAGCACACTAGCACCACCGTCCACCACGCAACCTGATTTTCTTGTATGCTAGTTGCTTCCGGACTCAGTACCGCTGAACTCAGAGATGCGTTTTTTGTGCAGGCAGCACCATGTGGCGCTCACGTGAGCCAAGACAGGGCTAGATCTACGGCATTTATTTCCAGAAATACAGCGATACACGTCAATTTCTTTCAAGCACCGCGCGTAGCAGCAGTGACGACCAGGCAACCTAAAGTTCTGATGCGCTACCTAGTTTTTGCCCTAGGTAACACTGTGCTACCTGGCTCAAAAAAGTACTTCGAACTCTGAATGTACATGTACCTTACTTTTGACTGTGTGAGTAACATTACAACACTACAGAGCTGATGACATACCGTCCATCTGAATCAGCAGCTCAGACTTGACCCTGCGACTGGCCTCGTGTTCAGAGTCACTGCCTCGCCGGCTACAGATGGAGTCTATCTCATCCACAAAGATGGTGCTGGGAGCGTAGAAACGAGCCTGCAATGTCAGAGGAACGGGACTTAATAGGAACCAAAGAGCTGAAATGAAGACACGCATGGTACAAATGCCCATGGGTGTTACACAGAATGACTCATCATGTGTTTACTACCCTTTCACAGCAGTGTGGGACTCACGTGTGAATACAGCAAAATCATCTATGCCCAAGGCCAAGGCCAAAAATGAAAGTACATGTATCAAAAGACAGACCTATGCCAAATGTTCAGTGTACAAAATACTTTCTTGAACAAAAATTAGGTTGCCCATCAGAATTCTAGCTTGCCCCATCTATAAGTTACTACTTTCATCAAATTAAGTAATGTTACATACATAAGCCTTTCTAACAGCCTTTCTAACACTAACAGCCTGTCTAACAGCCTTTAGTTAATATATATAACTGATACTAGTAATAGCCATTAATACCTAAAATTAAAAAGCATCTGCCGGATACAGTGGTGCAAGCCAAGTGGGCATGATTTGGGGGGGGGGCATTCTTAGAATTCAGGTAGCACACTGGGCTACCTAGGTTCAAAAATAGGTTGCCCCAAGTAAAATTTGGTTGCCTGGGGCAACTGGGCAACCAGGTATTTTGCACGCTGCTTGTTTGACTCAGATTCGTATTTCCCTATTTGGGCAGGAAGTTAATCCTATGCCTTGAGTCCTTCTCTGTAATGTTCTGATATGTAGAATAAACAGGATTCATCCATACCATTTCAAACAGTAGTCGCACCAGTTTCTCAGACTCTCCTCGGTACTTGGAGCTTAATGTTGAAGACGTCACATTGAAAAACGTGGTGCCACACTCGGTAGCGACGGCTTTGGCAAGCATGGTCTTCCCAGTACCAGGCGGGCCTACCATCAACACTCCCTGTGGGATAAAACAAGCATGTATTAGTGTTATTGTGAATGGGTGGGCAGGCTACTCTCTTCTTGAAGCCAAGAGCTGAATTGTGAGGAGCTTGGGGTCTGGAGCGGCTGTCATTCGGCGCTTACTCGAGTGACTTCAATATGACCCAAAGTGCCGCCATAAGACTGTAAGATTTGAACCGCTAACACCAGGGAGGACGACTACTCTTTTAGTCAAGTATGGTTCTTTGATGCACATGCTTATTAAGATGTGGCTATCCACAAACATGGGACCTCCATTTAATGTCCACTCATTTCCATCTGAACTAAGTGTGGAAAATAAAGTGTCCCATTTGAACCCAATACCTGAGTTCTGAGCCATTATGCCACACGACACCACTGTGTTCTAGCCATCTTTGACAGACATAAATCAGCATGTTAAGGTAGGGAAGAAATGTCACTGTACTACCCGCAAAATCTCCAGGAAATAGCGTATCATTGGGTCAAAATTTCACTATTTTCCTGTCCCTCGACAGTACATGTATGTAACGTCAAACGAAATTGAGATGTTGGATACATATACATCTCCCCTGTCTGAAGACGGCTCACCTTCCAAGGCCTTCTGATCCCCTTGAAGAAGTCTGGCATCCACATGGGCAGTACCACAGCCTCCTCCAACAGCCTCTTAGCCTCAGGGTTCCCTGCAATGTCATCCCTGATGACAACAACACAGTCACACTTAATTCAAAATGTATTAGTAGGTGGATACCTGTCAATGCACAAATAAAAGTACACCTTTAAAAATGTAAAACCCAGTACATGGACCAGTGCAGGTTAGGTGCAGGTAGACAGCTCCAAAGTTACCTGCACTAAGGTGCATGTACAGGTGGTATTTCCAGCCTTCCTTACCAGTGTACATTGGGGTTTCTCTGCACAATGTCTCTCTCCAGGGCCTCCACCAGGTCCTTATCATAACCTGCAGGGTCAAACTTCTTCTCTTCATCTGGAGACTTCCGATCTCCCTGGAGAACAGTCAAGACAACATCAGTCATGATGGATACTACTCCAATATGAATGTGGGCATGACTTGTAGAAAGTTGCTGGTAATTAAGGAAAAACATCTTTTGTGCAAATTTAACGTTTTCCCTGCTGCCCAACCCGTAATTAATATTTAGAGAATTGGTAGCCAAATGACATGAGCAGATGTGACTGCATTTGCAAAACTTACTGAAGGATAACCATGTTTGGTAGGACATGGAATACAGAACACTACCATTAACAATACTAAATTCTGGTGCTAAATACTAAAATTCTTTCTATTAAGATAACACTGTGTACTATTGTACATCTACTAATAACCATTGTTTCTTCTCTCTTCTTGAAACACCTGGAAATATACCTGCATACTTATTATTATTACTTAACCTACTATATGTTCATTTCATGCCTGACATTAAGTATGTGAAAGTGACCTGCTTTTCTTGTCTAAATGCGAAAAAAATTGTCTTGAATATTGATTACCGCTCGTCTTCAACAAAAGCTCCCCTCTTTACTTCAGTAAAACCTACTTTTTCATCTTTGCCCTTTCCTCTTCCTTTCGCGTCCTGGCGTCCAGGCGGCCCGCGTGCCCTGGGGTCACCCCTGCGGTCTCCCCCGCCCCCCGCTGACGGCCCTGCCCGCCGATCCCGCCGGTCAGCTGCCCCGCGGCCGGGAGGGTTGGACGGGCCCACGCGGGCGGGAGCTTGTCGTGGTTCAGCTCGGACTGGTCCACGCCGGTTATAGTTGGGAGAAGGTCTATGAAAAGGGAGGTGTTTGGATTATCTTTTTTTAATAAATAAATGAATGATGACCTTTATTGCACATTTTTGCCACACTTGGCTAAGTACAGATCACAACAAAATGAACAGATACAGTTAACAGATACAGAAAGAAACTAACTCTCAACATATAAATTCAACTTCTCCTCGCTTTACAGTTATTGTAATTTGTAGAAATAAAAGAACTGATGTGTTTTTTGATGGGTGGTTTATGTATTATTGTATGACAGGAAAAGATGCTGACCAGTATGAAAACCGGTTTGTTTAATCCTTTCAGTACAGGTTCGAAATTGTAAAACATCAAAATACCTAATGTTGACTGTGACAACCTAATACATCTTTGAATTTGAACATTCAGAAAGTGTGTATCTTAATGTAGAAAACATGTCAGTTCAGGTAGAGTGAAGACACCTACTTGTGTTCGACCGGAGTGGGCGGTGGCCAGACGTCAGGATCCCGCGTGGGTTCCTCGTGCACGCGGCCGCGGGCGCCCTGGTTGTCTGTCTTGAAGCTGTTGAGCGTTCCGCTGATGTCCTTCACGTGTTCATACTCCGTGGCAATCTCCTGTCGCACCTGACAAAAACTACACATTTCAACACATGTTCCTTGTAATAATTACATCCAGATCAAACCAGACATTGTGAAACATATGGAGTACAGTAGAATCATTCCTCAACTGACATCTTTACTATCACATGTTCATGTATTGACTGAAAAGACAATTCACAACAATTCATGATGCATTCTAGCATTACAAACTGTGTTACTCTCATTAAAATCCTCCCTCGCCACGCTTGCGATCTGCTCCCTCATGCTAAATTTTTCTAGAGAAACCCCTGTGTTGTAGGTATTATTTGGTTGAGTGTTTGCAGAAATTATTTTGAATTACAGGACAAAATTTTGACATTCTGCAATGTTCAAGTCCAAAAAAACTAAAAGTCAAGAACCGAGTCCGGACTTATTACCATAAAAGACCATTTCACATACCCCTTTTCTTTCCAAACCACCTAAAACCTCCCGTAGATTGCAAAATCTTTGCTGCAACATGATGAAGAAAACATTGCCATCGGGCATCGTCAAGCACTGGCCTCCATGTTATGTGGCTTAAAGGCGAGGTCCAATAATTTCAGTTTTGGGGCCTTTCTACCCAAAATCCTATTTGTAAATGGTGATTTATTGGTTTCTGCCAACCCCGCACATATTTGCCGTGATATCTGACCCGAGCGATGTTTTGCGGCTAGCGCCAGATTGTCCGCTAGGCGGCGCTGCGACTGGATCTGTGACGTAAAAAGTTTCATTCTGCTACTAGCGTAAACAACAATGGCGGGCGTGCAACCTTCCGATTTGAGCCACAGACAGACAGTGGTGACAGGAAAGTAGTATTCACACTTCAATTCCTTTCTGTTGGGCATATGGGCAGTCGATATAAATAAATCCATCAAAGGGTCGAGTAAGTTGCAATGTAAACAAACTGCGGTATTCACGGTACCGACCTGTTGGAGACCGGCTCCTGCACGCCCTGTCGGATCAGATCCCACCAAAAAATTAGCAACGTTCGGAGGTTTGCCGGGTGCAGAATCACATCGAAGTCAGGGTGGTTTCTAATGCATCGGTGGTCTGTACCGACGTTCTTCTCAGTGTCTGTCAGCTCTGGCAAGTCGTGACATCAAACACTCTCCCGTACAGAGGGCATCGCCAGGCAGTTTCCACAGCGGCACCAGTCTCGATTCCCCAACCTCCAACCCTCTGTCTCCACGTCACGTCCATCCCAAACGTTCTCATCGCCTGGATCAGGCTCGGAGTCACCACTACTGTCTGTCTGTGGCTCAAATCGGAAGGTTGCACGCCCGCCATTGTTGTTTACGCTAGTAGCAGAATGAAACTTTTTACGTCACAGATCCAGTCGCAGCGCCGCCTAGCGGACAATCTGGCGCTAGCCGCGAAACATCGCTCGGGTCAGATATCACGGCAAATATGTGCGGGGTTGGCAGAAACCAATAAATCACCATTTACAAATAGGATTTTGGGTAGAAAGGCCCCAAAACTGAAAGTATTGGACCTCGCCTTTAAGTTTTGCCCAAACAACATTGTGACCAAAGTTTCACCCAGACAACAACTTACAAGTCCGGAACTGAACCTAAACCTCTACGACTTGAATCCGGACCTGAACCTAAATGTGGGTTTAGGTACGCAGCACTAAGTACCCCTCACCTGTTGCCACTTGTGCTTGCGTGCGGGTTCCTTGATAGAGACCAGTAGTTTCTGGATCTGCTGCAGCACGCCCTGGTAGTACACCAGCGACGTGTCGTAGTTCCCCAGCAGCGCGTACTCACGTCCCATCTTACAGTTCTCACAGATCTCCGCAAAACTCGTCCCCATGATGTCAGCACTGCAATAAACATGAAGAAAATGTCAAGCCTTCATTCATTCAGATGAAAGCATCTGTAGCTCTGTTCCCTGTCCAACCTCCCTACAGTCTGACTCCTACATATTGTTTCTGCCATGTAAATGAGCTACATCATGTGCTTGTGTTACAAAAGCTAGGCCGTATTTAAGATTATTACACTAAAAGCATGAAGAAAGCTCTTTTCTACCTCTTGTAATGTTTAAGAGTTTGAACTTAGCTCTCATTTTAGATTCAAGCTCAGAAGAGCATAAGAGGAGAAGTAAGACCTGTAAATTTTTGTTTCATAATATGGTGCACCCAAAAAAATTTTTGTGCAGCTAATTTTTTACTAGTAGTTTGGATGCACCAGTGCACCTATTCCCAAAACTGAACTTCGAGCCCTGGGTACCAATACCCAAGGAGCTTTCAAATTAAATTATAAATTCTTGATCTTCATCTTGAGTCCTTGCTGTACCTAAAACTTAGTAAAAGTACCTAAAAATTTAGTAGGTACATGTACAGCTCTGTGTATGTTGCATAAAACACATGAAGTATCATTAAACGTCACAAACTTTAGCTGGCTTCACGTATACCACAAATATTTGGGGTTAACCAAATTACCCCTAAATCCCCAACAAGAAAAAATTGTGTATCCATAATTTATGCCCCCCTCCCCCATTCACATACTAGTATATCGAGGTGCACAACATGTCCACGGCCCACCATCTAAAAAAATTGATAAAATTTAGAACCCCCGTACCTTTATCCTGCCCACTGAACGAACGGACAAAATCTAGAAATGCCAACGATGAAGACGTTTTCCGGTGAAACTGTACTCCGTTTACAAGGCAACCTGCAAACTGACGAAATTTCACTTCAACCTGCAGGGGAGCCCGCTGATTGGTCAATACAAAATATATTACCCGTCATCCCAAGGGTAAATCTCGCCCGTTCTCGCGAGGTTAGGCAAACCGCGAAATTTGAAAGTGTTACATAACAAGTCATTAGCATTGGCACGTTGGAACTCAAAACCAGATAGAGAAATTAGAGGAGTTCTTCCACGAAGTGGGTAGATAACATTACAAATGGTCTATACTGGAATTGCGTGAGGTAAAGAAATATAGGGGAAGCACTAAAAAAGTAGGGACACACTACTATGGTAGAAAAGAAAAATCACATCTAACGTTACCTCCATGACGTACTAAACCAAGGAGGATATCTACATATAACCTTGACTAAACTATAACGTTACCTCGGGGTAGGCGTTCTATGCAAGGAGGTTCCCTGTAACTTTTTTTACGTCTAGACGGTCTAGTTCGCCAACGGCGTTAGAAAGACCGGCTGGAACTGAAATCATCTAGCATGTCATTGAAGAGAGAGGCCTAGGATCTACTACTAGGGTCAGTGAGTGAGTCCTAGGGTCAGTGAGTTACAAAGCGCCCTACCAATATTGAGCTATTGGACGTTTTGGTAGCCTTTTAACCCCCCTGGCCAGTATTACATACCTCTTTAGGCCAATTTCTACAACATATTCACAAAGGAGGAGATGGTGGGGATTAAGAGAAAGGGGCCGTATGTGGAAAAACCGGTTTGTCCATTGTGTGTGTGTGTGTGTATTAGCAGGATATCCTTATAGTCGGTATAA